AACATGGTTGTAGGCTAGTGACTTTGACATTATTCAGTGCCCACAGTCTATCCAGCCTACCTACTAGTGACAGCCAATTAACCAGCTTGTCAACTGGTAACGCGACCACTCTGATGGGACACTAGCTAGTAATTAACCCGTCGACAGCGCCATCACTTTGTTCCCCTCCACCGGACGGAAGGCCGTTGGGTCAAAACTCAAACAACCCCATCTAATTGGCTAACCGCACAAGAAAGATAGACAACCAAAGAACTTGTCAGCCTGCCACTCTAATGAGTGACCAACTACAAAGCAAAACAGAGCTTGGAGCTACCAACTAAGACTGCGGCCAATCAGAGAAGTGACTTAAGGGTCTAATTGGAAGAACTTACTCATAAGCTGCAAAGAATTGCCATGTAGATTTCACTTACAAAAGTAGGCTTTGCTGAGGCGTTTTTTAATCAAGAATCGACAGATTATTTAACATCAAACTTACTTAGAAGCGAGCAAGAGGGAAGTATAGGCAAACCTACCGAAGCATTTGCTTTGGCTGGTAGCTCTGTCAACGTAGACTTTAGCGCTAATGACCGTTCCAAACGGCATAAACATTTGAGCCAGCTCGGGATCGCCAAACTCCTGGGGCAGGTGATAGATGAAGAGGTTGCATCCCTCCGGTCCTAAAGGTAAAAAGTAATGTCGTTCATTACCAATGAGCTATTTTAGCCGACTACTATTTACAGGGAGGTGACCGCGTTCAGTCAGCCAAACAGAGAGAAAGAAGGAGAGAAGAAGTTCAATTTTGGACCGCAAAAAGGAGGACTTTTAACCGCTCAACAACAGCCTACGCAGAGAGACGAACAACAGACAACAAAATGCCCAAGGTTTCGCAGCTAATAATGAGAGAGAAGGTTGCAGTTCATTCCCAGAGTTTTTTGGTTTTCAAAACCGACAGACATTAAGACAAGACACCACAAGAGGACAGAGGAAAATAACGTCTCATATAGACGCGGTTTTTTTTTTACGAGCTATGCAGCTGGCCAATTTGTAAATATTTTTTTTTTCGAGTCAACAACACCCAACGAAATAGAGAGAGGAAGAGTGAAAGACGTGTTTACCAATGGAAGAGGCCATTCCGATCGATATTCCCGTTAAAGGGTCGCCCTGACAAGGTAGGGGAAAATAGTATGCACTAATGGGATTGCAAGGCATGAGGGCGTGAGTCGGTTCCCGAGGGCTTACCCGTGAGAATGAGATCTCGTGAGCCCTCCTTCTGTTGAACAGGCAAATTGAGGGCCTGTTGGGCCAGTGAGGCAATCTGTGGCAGAGGTGCTGGCGCGCCTTGGCCGTAGGGAGCTAAAAAGGGGTAATCATGCAAGTTTTACACCAACTAGTGGCATGCGACAAAAGCTGGTGATAAGAGTGGGACCTCCCAGTCACGCCCATGGCATCCTAACCAACATTTGCAGTCGTGGCCTGACTTTAGGGAGGATAGGCATGCCATGACCTCATAAAAATTGAATTTTAAAGCTAGTGCATAACTTAAGCGGACTAAGTGGTAAAACAAAAACTTGTTACTTAATATTTATCAGTAGCGCCATTATAACTATAGATTATAGCCGTATGCATAATTGCCCTAACAAATAAGGCGGGAAGGTGTGCATTGTTCCAGGAAATAATAAATCGTATCTATGAGCGATACTAATTACTTATCCATTTTTGATAACGAAATATGCAAACAAAGCATTGACCAGTGTCTAAATGGTAATCAGCCAACCCAGGAAGGAAAAGTTGCATTTAGTGAAGCGATTCGATGGATTGCTTGCCTCTTTAGTTAATTTTTCACCCCTTATGGACCAAGCTGGAGCCTTGCAATTCCTCTCCCAGCCAATTTATAAGTGTCCCCTCTGCCATAAAGGGTTTCATGGAGGACGTCCTCCTTCACTCTGTTATTTTACCGCTG